ATGCATATTTCGTCTCTTGGTAGCTTATAAATCTCTCAAAGTGGTTAATCCAAATGTAAAATAATTGGTCAGATGATTAGTGGCTATGATCCTTTGATGCAAAGCTTTTGGGGCAAAGTCAACACCCTAATGTCCTAATGTCTTGTGTATACCTGTAAATGAGAACAAAAGCAAGGAGGAAAATAATCTGCCAATTTACTGCTGGTCATTTGCCAATTCTGATTTAAAGAAGAGCAGGTTTCTGTGCTCTCATTGGGAACCTCATTGATATTATGTGCTAAGAGAGGTCAATTAACATCGTCAGGGGTCTCGATGTCATTTTTGTATCAACTAGTATTAGCAATGCAACATCCCAACCCTTTTACAGAAGAAAAAATAACAAGCAGACTTGATAAAAATATATTAATTAATCTTCCAATTGACATGTTCATATTACCGTATGTAAATGAGTTATGTCATGCTGAAGACTCTTTTGTTTCCAATAAATAGGATGAACAAAAATGTTTTACTTGTGATTCACGATTGCCTTACAACCATATCAGCTCTACCAACAGCCATCTCATTGAAAATGTTATCACAGCATTTGAGCCAGATCGGAAAAGGAAATGGTGGCAGTCCCAAAATGGTAGGTTTGCTGAAAAAGCAGGTATAGATACTAAAATAAGTTAGAAATAGGAACTGGATAAGGTAATTTGAGTTTACCTTACCATTCAACAAGATCACAGCGGATCCGATATCTCAGTTCCACTTTCCTGCACTGTCCGCATATCTCCTATCGTAAGTTACCAAAAATTGAATGACCTCTGTCCTAAATATACACCACAACTCAGTGTCCACAGCTTGGGTAGAGGATTTAAAATTCAAACCCTTTTGGCTGAAGAGAATTCTCCTCAGCTCAATGGCCAATTCCTTACTCTGAGACTGTGACCCTGTGTTCAAGACAGAATTGAATTCCAAATCCACTTTGCAACGAATAGGAGAAACATCTTTAAACCAGGGTGCTCCATTTAAAAACTTACCACTACACCTTCATGTCAGTGCATTCAATGAAACAAGCATCACCACATTGCTGCTACTACATGTTGCTTCTCATTGATGTTTACTTTCTGAGCAGGGCACTTATCCACATTATGCCTTTTTGTGGGCATTATGCCTTTTAACAACACTTCAGCCTAGCTGTTAACAAAAACTGTAGTCATAGAATCTTACAGCACTGAGGGAGGCCAATTAACCCATCGTCCGAGCGTTGGCTATTTGTAAGTGCTATCTAATTAGTCCTATACTCCTGCTCTTTCCTTACATAAACCTGTTTTTTCTTTCCTTTTCAAGTGGAAGTACAGTTACTCTTTAAATAATCAAACACAGTGGATGTTGTCCAGAAGTAAAAAATACTCAATAATTTCACATGAATTAACAGAAGATTCACAATTTCACCCACAGGATTCATTACTATGGCTGTAGTGAGTAACATACTTACTTGCACTGGTGTGATTCTCAGAATAGAATTAGCAAGCGATAGGGTATATTCTTAACCTTTTCACTTAGAATACAAAGAGCCTCAAGCATTTTAATTTAAGACCTGAGTGTTGGGCCTTGTGGATGTTATTTCTAACACATAAGATAATATCTGCATTATTTATTAAAAAGAAATATTAAGTTAAAAGCAATGTCAGTAGATAATGACTTTGTACTGTAATGTACGACAGAGTACAGCAATCACCATTCTACATTACATTTTTACTGACTTTTATTAATGTTGAAATGCCAATTATTAATTAACAGCAAAGATAACAAGATGAAAGTGATCATGATCATGTTACAAGAAAACAAAAACAAGTCAGCAACAACAGAAATTCAAAAAATAGGAGAATAAAAATAGATTTTACAGAACTCCATGCTTGCAAATGCACAATTTTCCAATTTGACTGTTTGTGTTGAAAACTGGCGTAAGATAACATAGTGAGATAACAAGGTGTCGGGCTGGATGAACACAGCAGGCCAAGCAGCATCATAGGAGCAGGAAGGCTGACGTTTCGGGCCTAGACCCTTCATCATTTTTCTGATGAAGGGTCTAGGC